GTCGTTTTTTTTTTGACTCTGGCCCACTGGGGTTGACGATTTTCCAGCCATTTTTCGTTTGGCATGTAAATGCAAAATTAATTTGCCCAATTAATCAGGCACGCCATCTCCCGAATTTCCGCCACCTTCTGAGAGCCGGTGACTGGCGGAAAAGCATTTCGCAAGACTTGGCTTCTGCAGGAGCAGCGAACAAACATTTTCATTGCAATTAAATTTAGCACAAAAAGTTGGCCAAAAAATAAAAGGAGATGTCATGTTACTGTCACTGCCAAAGAGTGAAGTGCTCGCCAAAATGTTGCCATTTGCATTGCCACTTAAACACACATAAAGGCGACTCGTGAAGTGGGCGTGGTACACACACATACACACCCACAGCGAGACACAGACACTGATATACCCACACACATGTAAGCGGGGACACGCAAATCGAGTCAAGTTGAATAGGCGGAAGTAGAGCAAGAAATGCGATTGCCAAATTGAGTTGAAGGTTTCGCTTGACTGTGTTTTGTTTGGCCAACTCCATGGGCTCCGCTGGCGTGTCCTTTGCCAGTGCCACTGCCACTGCCACAGCCAAAAGCAACAGAAGCGAAGGGGCACCACCGCCAACTGCACCAATATCTACGTTTCGGCAACGTCGACGATGGAGCTGCAGGACCCAGGCACTTGGCACTTTGCTGCAATTTTGTAGTTTTGATAAAATTTCGCAAGCATATTAAAAAGTTTTGCCCAACTTCGTTTTTACTTTTGCACATGCCATACGGCCTGGAATGGAGGCGGTGGGTGTTGGAGGTGGACGGGTGGGGCCTGTCTCCGCACATGCCACTGACAGTCCAAAGAGGAAGCTGTGCCTTATGGCTGCACCAGCCACGGCTTGTTTGCTGCCAAAAAAGAAAAAAAAATTGCTGCAAAAAATCGGAATAGGGCAAAAGAATATAAAAAGCCAGCAATGCACTTTGCTTTGCTATTTAATTTTGCCGCTCAAAGGCTTGACAAGCTCCTGAGAAAAATCGAAAGCGGCACGGCCAGAGGAGAGCACTGTCAAAGAGAGACATTTTTCCGGCAAACTTTGGCAACTATTTTTTCTATTTTGTATGTGATAAAACCAATTAAATTTGGCAAGAAATAGCAGAGCATACAACGAACTAACAAAGTAAACAAGTCACTAACAAAACACCACTCGACTTGGCAAAATAATTAACAATGCAAGCGGTATAAAAGCATTTTAAATATGCAGAGTTCATAAATCGAGATGTATTCATGCGCTTGGAAATACTTTATTTATTTTTAACTCGTTTATTTCAACGAATTCGGTACGAATTCAGAAATGGCACTTTCTACGTCCGAATTTTCAACATAATTTGGTGTTATTTCGGTTGCGCAGCTCGGCGTTAACACACAGCAGCAGCAATTAAATCCAATTGAGTGTCGCATACTTGTGTGTGTTGGCTGAAATGTTTGAAACAAATTGTTTCGTCCTCCCTGCAGAGACGTGTTGTTATGCTGTTGCAACAAAAGCGCATTTAATTCAGCATAACACAATGCATAAATCTGCTTTATTGAAAACCGAAAGCCAACTACTGCCACTCCCATTCAGCATTCAGCATCCAGCAACCATCCAGCCAGCCTGTGTCCTTTAACCGGATTTAAACTTTTGCACAAGGAGCTTTAAAACCGACATATCTTTGTCCCCAAAAAATCAGAGGAATTGTTGACCTACTTGAGAGAAGGCCAAGTGTCAAATAATCTTCTCCTGGCTTTAACCGGACGGGCGACACCGGACACAACCGATTGTTATGTAAAGGCTTCCTGTCTCGTCGCTAGACTGTCAAGAGCTTGTGGGATAATGGCTAAATCGATGCATACATGCCCAGACCAGACCAGACCACCCCAGTCGTGTTGTTCCATACAGAGATTTGCAAATGGGAAAATTGGCAACACGAATAAAGGAGTGCAGTAGCAATTTTCAAAACCATTTATTTGTTTATTTATTTTTGCCATTTTTGTGACTGACTTGGCCCGACATGTGGGTGGGTAATCAGTTTTGGCAAATGTCAGCTGCTCCTGTTGTTTCTGCCATAAATAACTAATTCGTTGTGATTGCACACAGAATTACAAGAAAGAGGCAGCCGTAGAGTGCACTGCGGTTGCATGACAAAGGCCAACTATTAAAATGCTAAATTCAACTACGACTCGTAAATTATATTCGCATTGTGTTTGCTTTTCAATAGCCAGTCGCCTGCACGCCCTCACATTCACTCATGCACACTGATATGCGAATAAATAGGGCAAATGCAAAAAAAAGCCAGCTCTCAATAAAGCCATTTATTAAAAGGATATAAAAGTTGTACAGAAAAAATACGAGTCTCGTGTGCCAGGGTACATTAGGCATAGACAACAGAATTTATACGAGCTTTATTAGAGGCTTTTGGAATTATCGATTCTTAAAGTAAAGGGAAAATATAAAAATACAATAATACAGAAAACACACTGAAAGCTGAATGAAAGACGCAGAGAAGTATGCAACAGCTTTTAAAAGGAGTCTGTTTTGAGTGCCGGGTGTCATACAACTAACTTTTATCTGTATGGAAACATAAATTAAGTAAAAGTTCAACAAATTGCAAAAAAAATGCGTTAACTAGGCCCACAAAATCGCATTGTCAGCCGCTCGTTAGGAAAACGCAAAAAGCAAGAAAAAATGAAGGTTTGCCTATGACCGTGCTTGGGTTTGTCGCTGTGGTTATGCGCACTATTTCACAGATACACAGGAATACAGATACACGGATGTGGGACTGAGGTTGTGAGGATGCGAGGATACTGGCGCCCGCAAAGATACACGCACACATGCGGGGCACACAATAAAAATGATTGCATTGGCAAGCGCTGACAGGCGAACCGGCAAGAGAAGCCGTGGAGCAGCGGCATTGGGCTGCATTTGATGGATGAGTTTGAAGCCATGAACCAGATGTGACAATTCAAATGCCAAAATTCAGAGGGCACACACACACACTCCGCGCTCCACGCCCAGGGGCGTACTCGTGAATATTTTTCGGGGGTTTCCGGCATTGCATCGTATGTGTGATGAGTCGACGATCCCTTCGAACGGCCACGCACCTGCTGCCACAGACCCTAATATTTCGTGTTAAAAAATGCATCGAACAATATGCGAGCCAGGGGAACTCACGAGCCAGAGTTTTTATTGAAATTGAATTGTTGATAAGTTTTGTCAACACAAAACGCAGCTGAATTTAAATGGGATCGACTCACACAGAGTCCCCCTCTGGATGTGCCAAAAAACGAGCTGACGTAATTGATTTGCCTGATATTGGTTTTGAAGTACGCGGGCTAGGCAATTACCAATCCACTCTTCTTTTTTTGGGGCTGCCAAGTTCAAGTGAATGCAAAAAGAGGGGATATGCACAGGTGTGTTTTGATTTTTGCTCACCACGCCCTCTTCACTTTCTACAGCAGTATTTTATTATTTCGAGTGCATTTTACATATTTGTTTAGTTTTATCGCAGTCGCAATAAATCCATTGAGTCTGAAAACACAATAGGGTACATTTTCCTTCAACAACAGCAGGAACATTCAAATCCAATATGGAGAGCCATTAAATTGGTCAAGTCCTTGCCGAAATCACTCAATGGGACTCAAACGGAGTTCAACAGCCCCAAGCCGCAAACATTTGGCATTTTATTCGTTTCCTGCCCAGCACGGCTGATGATGCTGATACTTTCCCAACTGGTCAGTGCGGCAACAAATGTTGCCAAATGCCGAGCCACAATTCGTTTAATTTGCGGCCACCCGGTCGCCCAGTCGACCCACTCACCTACACTCGTCGCTGGCCACAATAACCCACATTGGCCCGCTGCCAGGATGCCAACATGTTGCTGACCCAGAGTCGAGTCGGCTCCATGCAATGGCTAAGAGAGCGCCTGCGCCGTGAAAACTAGTCGCGAAGAGACTCCAAGAGGCTGCAGGACTCTTTGGCGCACAAGGATGCTGCAGCAGGAGTCCCCATAACAGGCCACTACGCTGCCCAATTACTCAATAGCATTTCTCAATCGCTCCAAACACGCGACTAGTGACCATAAAACGCCTAACTCTTGTTCGCTGTTAAATGAGCCCATTGCCAGACGCAAAACAAGGGCTTTAATTGCCAGACGAATCTCCTGTTAGCCGGTCATTCAGTCATTGGGCCATTATTTGTTGGCTGGCTTACGGCTGACAGTGGACCGGGGCATTAGCCCGACTCGCATTCAGCTGACAAATGGCAGTCTCTGCCCCACCTCGCTCGACTTTAACCCATTTGGTCTAACTAGCTTTTGAGCTTCTCAGGCGGCGAAACAGCGAACACAAAGCCAAGTGCGCGCCATCAAAATTTGTCAGATTATGTGTCTGAGCATCGGGAGGACAATTGAAGCGCACCTGAATTCGTTGTCTGGAAGCTGATCGAATTAATCACGGCTCCTTGGAGCTACAAAAGTTTCAGACGCAATTTATGGGCCGCAATTAATTGGCGCGACTGTCTCGAAGATGGCTGGTCTTAAAGACTTAAATTCTGGAGTTTCTTTGCCGCTGCAACAGCAATTTGCAGCTCATTTAAATTGCAGGCGCGTAAATCAAAGGACACAACGTGCAGCATTTGGCGCCCAAGGCAGCAGCGGCCCAAGTCCAGGCGCCAGCTCACAAATCAAGCGGCAAATTGAAATTGCTTGACAAGGCCGCAGAGTTATGGCATCCATAAAAAGAGTCCTAGTCCGGAGATACTAAAGCGGAACAAGACTGCCAGATGATGATGCGATGACAAGCCGACTTCTTTTCGAATTGCGCCGCAAAATTATGGATAGTTCTGGGCAAGGATTTTAATACTTTATTATTTTTAAGACATCGAAATACATGGGATTCAAGCTCTTTTAGAAATCAGTTCTATCCTTGCTTCAAATGCTTACCCATATTGTTCTCTCAAACGTTAGACATACCAACACAATTGTAATAGACACTACATTTGCTTGGAATTGAGTTTTCCCTTGATATTTTTCATAATTACATTCAATTCGAGCCAATATGTGGAAGCTGCAGGCCCTGGTGGTGCAGCTCCTGCTGCTGGGCTCCCTGCTTAGCACCTATTTCCAGCCGACCCAGTTGCCGGGGCTGGTTCCACAGAAGACTATGAGCGAGTTGGGCTACAAGGCGCCGGCAGACCGACTGGTTGTCTTTCTGATAGACGGACTAAGTGCTGAAACCTATCTGGCGAATAATGGCAGTAACGTGCCGGACTTACGGGATTTGTTCCGGGAGCGTGGCCGAATGGCCATCTCTCATAGTAGTGCTCCGACGATGACGCGAACCGGACACATAGCCATTTTCGGAGGGCTGCATGAGGATCCTTCTACTGCGCTAGTTTATTACAACTACAATCCCTTGAACTTTGACACCGTCTTCAATCGCAGTCGCACTACCATTGGCTGGGTCCACAGGTACGTTAACACTTTCTTCAAGAACCTGCCCCACGGAGGTGCCCCGCTTCGGTTCACTCTTTACTCAGAGTCTAGCACCGGGCGTCTCAAATGCGATAGCTTTGTGTACCGCAAGGTGTCCGAATATTTGAGCAACGCTGACAATGTCCAGGAGTTGCGAATTACCAAGCCAGTTGTACTTTTCCTCTATTTGCCCGACATGGATATAGTCGGTCACCGATACACGTCCACAAAACCGCAGTACTACGAGAAGCTACTCCACACACAGAGGGGTGTTCGACGCACCTATGAGCTTATTGAACGGATCTTCAATGACGGCAGGACATCCTATTTGATGACCGCCGATCATGGCCAAACCAAATATGGTGTGTAGAATTAACGAATCCAATAGTTTTATTCCTTACTAAACCCTTTAAAATCAGGATACCACGGCCACGGCAGCAAATTGGAGACGGAGACACCCCTTCTTCTCTGGGGAGCTGGTGTGAAGCGTCCTGCCGTCAACTCCAGTGGAATCTTTCCGACCAGGGACAACATTGCCCAGATGGATCAGATTCAGCTGGCTTCACTCATGTCGGCCCTGATAGGCCTGCCGCCTCCGATGAACAACCTTGGAATAATTCCAGACGGGTACCTTGATGTGAGCGCTCCGTACGAGGCCATGATCCTCCACTTGAATGCCTTGCAGATCCTGGAGCAGGCCAAAATCCTGATACGGCGACACGAAAACGCGATCTTCTACGAGTGGTTGCCCTACTTCTGGGAACTGAGCTTGGAAAAGATCGCAAACTACTCGGCTGAAGTTAAAGCACTCATGAAGGAGGGAAAGCCGGAGGTGGCTATCAAAATCAGCCGGAATATGGCCAAACTGGCCCAAAAGTGCATAGGATACTACACGGACTACTACAAATTCCCTTTGCTGGTGGCCACCTCTGCATCCTACTTAATTTGGAGCCTCTGTATGCTGCTACAACTGACGCGGCTGTCGATGGAGGAGAAGGAGCATCGTGAAGGATACCTGAAGTGGCCAACCCTGATCGCAGTCCTCCTGGGACTTATGGCGGTATCGGTAGTGCTCCTACAGAACGTGCCTCTCATCACGGCCTTCTACTTGCTGCTGCCAGTTGGCCTATCAATTATGGCCCTGGCTGAGCGCGGTGATCAAGGCAACTTGATAAACGTACCCATTTCGCACCTGGCCTTCATCCTGCTTCCGGCTGGTTTGCTGGTTTTGATGACTTTCACCTACCAGCACTTGGCCGTGCTGTATGCTGTCCTGGTGTGTCTGCACAATCGGCGGGCCTTCTGGAAGCCCTCGATTAAGTTCTTCTTGTGGCTATTCATGGTTGTGTTGATGAGCGGTGGGCTGTTTCTGCAGCATAACCCAAGCAAGAGGATTGATGTTCTTTCGGTTCAAAACAATTACCCATTGCACATGGGCATGCTCCTTGCTGTAGTGCGTCCAGTGTTTCTAGGACATCGTCACGAGCCCCTTGTCTGGATCATCAATATTATTACTTTGCTTTTGGGAGCCTACGGAGTCTACCAGTTCGAGGCCAACGATCCTGTCTGGAACTACGTTAAGGCCACCTCCTGGTCCTTCCTGGTCTTTGCTTTCCTGTCGATCCCGTACTTTAGCGATAAGCTGTCGACCGCCAAGAGCCGGCTGGAGCTGATCACCTTGAACATGGTTACTCTGATTTGCTTGCTCTCCAACAGTTGGGGAGCATTGCTGATTCAAATATTGATTACGGAATTGGTTTTCGGTGTGGAACTTTATGAGGAGAGTAAGCAGGTGAAGGACAAAGATGAGAAGGACGTTGTGGAGAAGGAGGAGCTGGAGGAGGAAATGGGCTACAATCCTGAGAGATACTTGAAGCAATCATACCGCTATGCATTCGCTGTTCTTCTGTACTTCTATGTGGCCTTCGTTGCTGCCGGCCACTGGGTGTGGAGCTTCCAGTTCGCACCCACCACGGCGCGCCTCTTTTATAGCAACATAGCGATGTTTTTGTCTGGCAGCTTCGTCATTCTAAAGATTAGCTTGCCTGTCGTGATCTTATTCGCGACTCTGTATGCTCTGGTTCCCTTTGCCCGTCACAATTCAAGATCCATTATGACGTGCCTCTTACTCATCAGCAATGTGATGAGCATGTACTTCTGCTATTTCGTAGGAAACCAAGGAAGTTGGGGTACCTTACGCCGCTCCATGGACAAACTTATGGTATGCAATGTTGTGACTGTGATACTCCTGGCCAGCTCCTGCCTCGCCAAGTTTTTCCTCCGAAATACCACAATGGGAAAAGATAAGTCTTGTCTTCCTGAGAAAGAAAATAAGAGTGCCACTTCTTCTGATGAAAATGTTTCAGTATGATTTCCCAGAAGGTGTATCTAAATTATTTGTTTTAAGGTAGATTTCAAATGAAACCATTAATGTTAATGATAATTTCCAGTAAAGAAAGTATTTCATTCAATAAAGGATGCATTTCTGATAGCCTTTATCAAACGGATAAAAAAAGTTATAAGGTCTAACGAGTTCTTAAAAATCTCAAAACAGCTACGTATATTTTCATGAAGAATAGCAAAAAGCTTCGTGTTTAATAAACATTTAAGCCTTTGACACAAAATTACCGCAGACACAGTCAAAGCCAAAACGGATGCTTGATATTTGTCATAATAATTAGATGGCAGTTGACTTTTGGCCCTCACCCTATCCCTTTTTCCCTGATTGTATGTGAGTATAATTAAAGGACTGTGGGTTGCCAGGCAATGGTTGATTAAATGAGCTTTCTGCCAAACGTTTTCCGTTTTCGTTTGACGAAATTTTCTTATTTTCTTTCCGCCCTTTCTCCGCTCCTGACCAATATCCTTTTTGTTTGTCTTCCAAGCCGCCAGACCCGCTGAGCCTTTGTCGCCAGCTATTTGCCTTGGTCCGCGCTGACAGCTTGTTGAGTTTATCCTGTCAATATACTCATGGCGAAATTCGGGATGCTGGGAAGGGAAGTGGCACAGGATTTGTAACTAACTGGCTTGTATTGGCCTCGGATTTAGCCTTTTGTTGAGCCGGTCTGAGCCTGAGCCAGCCGGTCGGCAGGATTGATCGCTCGGCTGATTGATTAATTGACACTTTGCACATTAATTAGCCGGCTGTCGGGGCATTGGAGGCTCTATCCCTTTTGGCTTACAGACATTCCAATTCGTCCTTGGCCTCAAGACAGATGTTTATATAGTGTCCGGCTGAGGTTCTTTCGAAGCAGTGACTTCCATTACCAACTCCTTTGATTAGAAATTATGACAACTTACCGTGGGCGTTTCAATTCAAAGTTTTTCCTGCATATGCTGGCCAAATTTATCGCTGATTAATAAACTCATTAGAACTTTCCCTGTTTCCTAGTCGCACATGAAGTAACGAACTTTCCCCGAGATTTAATTGGAAAAGTTGTGGCCGCTGGGCGCCTTAATGTAAGTCAGTAGTTAGTTGGTCAATATTTAACTCGGCTTAGCAAATCGTCTCAATATCTTTATCCTGCAGCCAGCCGGAGATGCTTTAACACCGTCCGGCCTTTGTTTGGCATTTACAGTAGCAAGAAAATCACCGGAGGCGACGGATAAACGAAATGAAAAAATATAAAGGATATATACATACAAAGACCGTCATCCGGGCAAAGACAAAGAATTATGCCTTCTTGTCGGTTATTAATGAGCCATAGCCCCTGGGGAAAAGTCCTGTGGAAGGAGACGTGATTCCCTTTGCATCAAGTTAAGTTTCAATTTGGCGGCCGACTAATGGGAATGCATTTGAAAGGTAAAATGATTAATGTCAGCGCCAGCTTGGGGCTTATCTTTTTGTGGGTTAACCGCCGACGCCACCGATGCGGATTTAATTAAAATAAAAATCCACCTTCCGGCACTCCTTCTTCCAGACCCCGGCAGCAGCTGTCGGGGCCAAATTGTTTGTGAGGTAACCCGTTCGCAATCATTACATCTGGCAGTTAATTAAAATATTTAAAAGCACAAAATATCTTCATGCGCGAAAATGAATTGATTTGCCAAATATTTGCCATATAGTTATGATTTTTTTTGTAAATCCTTTCAAAGGAAAGTGAAGGTATATAGAACTTAAGCTATTATGCTGTCATGATGTTTAGCCCCACATGTTTGAACAACAATACTAGGTATATCATTGTCGATTCTGTGATATTCTATTCCAGTTTAACGCATATTTTTGCATTGTTGGCTTTATGAAATAGAAAATGGCCAGCTGATGTTGTGGCTGTTCATTATTGGTGGCTGATATTGTCGGGGCGAAAATTAGTTAAAGCCCATTGGCAATTTAATTTGCTATTAAAATTTTAGTTATCAAGCCAATGAATCAGATGCACAAACTGTTCCAAATATGCTTAAAAGTTGTATGCAAATTTAATGAATTTTAATGGAATGCGGAGCATTGTATTTTTTTGTTTGTTTACCTATGTATAAAATTATAAAACCAAAATAAAATGGATGACCAACTATGCCGTGCAATTAATTATGCGAATAGTTTTGTTGGTTGATTTTTGCATTTGCATGCCTTTCATGTGCATTAGTTATACTGATATATTTAATGCAGTTGAAATAGTTTTGCAAATTTTTCCAATACCAATGTCATTTTATTGCAAATGCTTTGCCAAAGTGGATTACCTTTGAGTTCGATTTTGGATAGCCCCGTTAAGTCTATTATTTAGTCTTATATTTGGATTTTTTTTCTGGACACACGGCCCATGGAGTGACAAGGTAGGTACCCACGCAGACTTTTCTTTATTTTTTTGTGGATATACTAGGAGCTAGAAGTCATGCGATATCTGCCATCTTTAATATATTACTATCGCACTTTTCATCACGTTCTGACCTGCAAACACCCGAGAAAGTTGTTTGCCATTCGAAGTCGTAATTGAGTACGCCGTGCGCATGTATAAATAACAAAATGTCCTATGCCCCATCCAGTTTCCACTCAGCTTCCATCGCAGGAGCCATTCTCCGACTCGTATCTCCTTTGTTTTCTATTAAACAATTGACAAAGTGCCTTGGCCAGGATTCTGTCCTTGGCGGCTGATGCGACTACACATATAAATTATAATTTAATAAGAAAACAAACGAAAAATTCAATGGCGCCATAAACCATAAAAAGACGCTGAAAAGTGCTCATCTTTGTGTTTGTATGGATGTAAGTGTGCGGGGATGTGTGTCGAAAAACAATAAGCAAACAAAAAGCCCAGGACGAGACGTTGGTAAACATTGAAATCATCTTTGGAGCGGCGGAAGCGGGACTTCGGAAGGCTCGATTAAGTAGCATAAAGTGATGATAAATGCGACATTGAGCAACAATAAATTGTTGCCTTTTGTCTCTTCTATGAGAGTGCTTGTTTCTCTTCTTGTAGCTTTATTGTTGTTTTCAGAGTTCCCCGATTCCCCGATATCACACTGCTTGCCATTGACGTGTTTGACTTATTGATGCTGCGTGCCGGGATTAGTGATGAGGCCCACACTGCGTATGAGCAACGCAAATATACCGAAAAAGCATAAAGCTCCCAGTGAACAACGCTGATTAGCATTCGCGTGTGTGAGTCTGTTTGCCAGTTCGCCAGTGTGTGTTTATATTTCGCTGCTCATTCAATTGTTTATTGGTAATTTGAAATTCATTGGACGGCAGCATTGGCATCAGCCGACAATCCTCTCAACTTTATGGCTCTGCAGACAGCGCATTAAAGCTTAAACTCAATCGAATTGATTTCTAGAGCCAATGCAAACACATCGAATGAGGGAAATACTAATTATGCGAGGGGAAAAATAACAAAATTTTCAATGAAAGTTAATTAATATATTTAAAAACCACACAAAACTGAAATGTTCTAAAAACAAGTTTTAATTGCATATTTTAAGAAAAAAGTTTTAAGTTAAAAAAAAGAAATAAATACAATTTTTATTAAAAAGTCAATAAATAATTCAAAAGATTTAAAATTTCACATATTTTTTATTCTTTTTCTAATTTTTTAGTGTGTACTTTTCCAAACAAATATTGCAAGCACATTTGAACTGCGTTTGAGGCACACTTTAAGCTTCATTGCAACCCACTAGCCCCATGGCCAAATGTACGGGCCAAGTTTTCCACTTAAAAAACGCGAAGTTGCCTCAATGCTGAAATTGTTTTTCCTACTTTTTTTCAGCTGCAGTTGCACTGTTGCTGCCGTTAGCCGCAAGTCGTGCCACTTGCCACAGGATGCCAAGCCAAGCCGAGCCGCACAGCCGGAGCTGAGTTCGAGATTACTTTGGTTTACATTGTGCTACGTTTGCGGCTTAAATATTGTATTAAGTTTGCTGGCTGGTGATTGGAAAGCAACTGCACATAAATAGAAAAGAACGAGCGAGCCGAACGGAGCGGAGCATTCCAGTGCCATGGTTAGAGATCACCTTACCGCATTTCATTGCAATTTTGCATTATTTGCAGCTGGGCCCTCTCCCTCGAGGGCCGAGTTAGCAGCCACTTGAGTTGCTTTCAGCTATTAGTCGGGAGAAGCAGCATCAGCATCAGGAACAGCTCAGCCGGCCAGGCAATTGCTTAATTGCAACTTAAGCTCAATTTTCTTGTTGTCCGACCCCAGGACGAGGCTAAATGAAAACCCGAACCCACACACCAAGGCTCTCATCCCGTCTGTCCTGGGCTGTCTATCCCTTCCATCCTGCCTGATTGCTTGTTGTTGGCACATAAAATCTTGGCCGGCTCACAATCGTTGCATGTAATGACTGGCAGTTGCGGTCGCTCCAATATGAGGCAAGGTGAATGGGAGAAGGATGTAGAAGTGGCAGCAGCCGAAGCCAAGGCAAGAGCACTGGAGTACTTGAAAACTGTGTGGGCATAGATAAACAGCACCACTCGAAAATCCCCCGGCTTAGCCCTTGAGCCCTCAACCGTCGTTTCGGCATATGAAACGTGAAGCAGCCCAGGTAGGAATTAGAATCCAAAATCTGAGGCTGGAATCCTTAAATGTAGTTTAAGTGTGGCCCACTTGCGGCTTTTTGGCAGCCGCAAATGATCCTTTTAATGCCACAAATCGAGTGCCAAAACATCAGTGTGCCATGAGTTTATACTTACCCTTTGGATAAATAATACTCGTCCCCCTTTCCTTAATCATTTCTAGTATTATCTACAAACCAAAATTCTAATTGTAAACGAGACAAAATGACCAAAAAGGATGCAGCCAAGAAAGCAAAGGCAGAAATTACCGAGGAAGATCTGGACTTGCCCATATTGTAAGTGCTTATAGAATATAAATGTATTTCGCTACAAATATTCACTAAATAATATTTTAGCGATGAAAAAACTAAGGAGCTGGTGGCAAAATGCTGCGGAAAAGAAGTTAGCGGCACTTACGAAATTCTGCCCGAAGTTAGCCTCAAGGACATGGGTTTCGAAGAATCTGAAAAACTCATTAAATGTGAATTTGGCGCCAAAAGGGCATTCATTCTTGATGAAATCAATAAAATTGTAAGAGGCAAGATTTGCCCCGACGTGGAGATCCGTGTGGGCAATAAAAGCTTCCGATGCCACATGCCCGTGTTGCAACTGTGCACAGATTTCTTCAAGAAATTCGACTCAACCGATACGATCACCATAAGTGCGAAGGTGATAAGTGCCAAGGGATTCGAGCTGGCCTACGAGTGGATGATCAATCCGGAGGCCAAGCTGCAGAGGCAACACATCCTGGCGCTTTACGTGGCCGCCAATTTCTTGGACATGCCAGAGCTGCTGACTCATCTGTGGAGTCGTCTTGATGACCCTAAACTGATAATCCACGGAGACGCCTTTCAGCTGTACGTGGAATCTATACCCTATAAGGTTTCCTTGCTTCAGGAGTTGATGCTCGACCGCATCCAAAAGTTCTTCCTGTTGGCCGTTGCCACCGAGGAGTATCTGGACTTGGATGCAAAGCACGTTTTTGATATGCTTTGCAACTCCAATATGTGCGTCAACTCCGAGATGGAGATGTTTATGAGCGCCGTACGGTGGCTACTGCACGATTGGAGCAGTCGACGGGAGTACGCAGTCACTCTGATGCAAGCTATTCGATTCAATTCCATGCCAGCCTGGTACACCACCGTTCTGAAGGTGAAGCAACTAGAACCCCACATGCAAGAGTTGCTGAACATACCGGAGATCGAGGCCATGATCAACCTGGGACTCTCGTTTTCCATCACCGAAAAGTTCGTGGACCCTGCGTCGCCGCTGAAGGAGCCCTTGGGGCTGAAGAAGCCCCTGGAGCGACAGTGGGTCGTCCATTCGGGAGTGCGCCATCACCACAGCTACGAGTGCCCTAAGTGGCAGTTTCTGACCCTGGAAGTGTTCAACAATTATCTGGTACAGATCATCGCCGAAGGCCAAAGCTATTTGGAAAAGCTGGAGCACGGCGTACCCGACCAGCTGATGCCCTGCTGTCGAGCATTAAAGAATGGTTGAATAAATAAGCCCTGCCCCTGGGGATCGAGAACCGATGGGCGATGTGTATGGTAGGCGGCTCAAAAACACACCCTGGGGTGCCGTATAATTGCTACAAATAATTTCATTAGCCGGGCAGGGCCAGAGCTTTGGTTTCGCTTTCGCATTAAGCGTTTCCAATTAGTTGAATGGCTGGCATTTTGCTGAATTAATTGTCAACGTTTATGAACTAAGCACTTAGTCTGTGCGGGTGTTAGTGCGGGGGTTGGGTGTTTGTGGATATGTTTGTGGGTGCGTGAAGGTGTGTGTGCTTATGTTTGGCCTTCGCAAACATAACCTGATGTGAATACAAATGGGAATGCGAGCAAACAAACTGCAAACAATCACACATGCAAATGTCAATGCCCCCAGCTGTCGGACACGAGACCGCAAAAAAAGAAAAACAATTTTTGTTTGAACAGCGCCAAAGCCAGCGAAAATATTGTAAAGCATAGGAAAAAAAAAACAAACCAAAAACCAATTGACAGGCATAATCAAAATATTTTTATAAAAAACAACACAATTAACATTCAGAAATCGGAAAACAACAAAAAAAACAAATCGATTTCATTACTTTTTTATGCCGTTTTTCATTGACTTATTTGGGGCTTTTCCGGATTTCACGGCAAATGTTTGAATAACTTTTTGTTTACCTTTGTGTTATGCCTTCATAAATTTTTAGCGGGTGCATTAAAATAATAATACAAATGCAATTGATTTGGCCAGCGAAAAGTTTTTGCCAATCCCCCAAACAAAAATGGCCCAAACCGAAATTGCGAAATTCATTGTTTTTTCGTCGATGTAATTTAATTGTCTGCAGTTGAGGCGCCATGCGATAAATCAATTACTACCGATTAAGCTTCAGATTATGGAGGACTTTTTTGGCCTCTCCCTTTTTTTTTTATATGCCTTGGCATCTGAGCTGATGATGTAATTCAGCAATGCAAATGAAGATAGATGCACTTCTGGCAGTTGCAGCAGCTTCCCAATAATTGATTCTGAATATGATGAATGAGGGCCAATTATAAGAATGTTAAAAAGAATCAAAAGACGATTAATCCAGCCAAAGAATTTCGAGAATCCAGTCATATATGAGCTCCAATAAATGGCAAAGGAGGATTGCCAGAAGCTGAACCACAATTTGCCTTTTAGCACTATTGTAAAAAGTACATTTGAGAAATCCTATTTGATCTCCCAGTCTCGTTTATAGGCAGTTGCATAAAACTGATAATCCTATTGTGGTTTCCCTTGTTCCCCTTAATTGCCATTATACTGGGCTTTCACACACTCCCACCCACTCTGGCATTCGCACCGTCGAGTTCGGCAAACAAGGACAAACAAAAGCGGCTTTAGTTTTCATGTTTTGCGGCGGCTGCGTTTTTGAAGTTCCATTACTCAAACTCTAAGCGCCGGAAGGGTAAATAAAAGAGCCAAAATCCAGGGGCTGGGGACTGGGGGCTGCCATGATGGGTGGCAAACTGTTTGGCGGCAAACTTTATGGTGGACCCATTGTTTCAATTGCACAAAGTTGCCGAAAAGTTGGCCATTGGCCCCATCCCCCATGCCGCATTTTGAGTGTTTTTCAGCTTAAAGACTGCCACACTTAAAGCTTGATTAGCTAATTGCGTTTGCCTAATTTGATTTGTCGGAATTTCAATTAAAGTTCCGACTGATAAGATCGCCAGCAATGTCGTAAATAAAACTTATCAGACTGCAGATAATGTATCTACTTTCCGGCGCACGGGGCGTATGGGTAATGTGACTATTACAATCTTGATAGCGGAGGATGGAAGAATATAAGTACTTAAACAGAAGAAAATAAACAATGAAAAATCAATACAAAACAAACTATTAAGCATCTTTGGAGCAATATATTCGAGTTTGCTTGTAAATTCCACTGCACCCCAACGACCACAACTACAAGTATGCATAATTTGCTGATTGCAATTAAAAGCAATTATGCTCGGTGTCCCTGCAACCACAAACTCATTAGCTTGTTGCACCAAAACCGCAATGCAGCATATCCCACAACACCAGAACCAGCATCAGAATCAGGACCGGCAACAGCAACAACAACAACGACAACACCAACCAAAATTACTTACCCATTTCTATGTTGAGGTGGTGGGTAGAGGGCTATGGGGCATGGGTCATAATGAAAAGCCACTCACTTGACACACGCCCCCTGGACACAGACTCGAATCCAGCTCGAACCCGGCCAAAGGGATTGCCAAAACCAAATCGAATCGCTGGCAAAATTGCACAGCTTGACGCCATCTTTTTGCACAACCAATTCCTTCCATTTTTTCGCAATCCACTTTTTTCCGGTTTGGTTTTGTTTGGTATGCGTTTTTTTTGGCCGGCCACAGTTTTTGACATGCGTGTGTTGAGAGCTTTCAAACAAAATGGTCACTGCAAAGTGCCCAGAGCCCAGTGCCCACTACCCAGTACAAACCTATTCCGAAACCTATGCCGGGTTTGTTTAGAAGGTTTTATGCATATGTCCGACATGTGGAAAATTCCATTAGGAAGTTTTCTTTGTTTGCATACATTTGCATGCCTTTCTCCGGCTCCAGCTCCATCACCATCTCCATCTCCATCTCCATTCTCTTTGCTCTTCGCTTTTTCTGGCCTTCCATCACAAATAATTTATTTGCGGCCAGGAGCAGGCCAAGATTTTTATTATTATTATTTTGTAATGGTTTTCGAGTGTTTGCAGTGGCACAACATCCCAACAACACAACACCACACAGCTCAGTAGATCCGAGCACAGCAAAACAGAACAGGGCCCGGCACGGCAAAGAAATGGAAATGATTTGCATAAAATCGATTAAACATTTTCAGCAAATAAAATGCATATTGAAATGAAATGAATAGAAAGTAAGCAAAGAGCAGCAAAAGCAACAATATGGTCACCAATTCAGTCCAAGCCAAGGGCCATGTCCTCATCCCCGTTGTCCTTTGAGTCCCGAAACCGGAGTCCGAACTTTTCTGCTTTTGTTGGGCAAAGTGCTTGCATGGCTAAGTGGGGATGAGCGGAGGCTCGGGCCAGGACTAACCCAACAAAATCTAAAGTGTGTACGCAAAAGATTTATCAAATATTATTCACTCAGTTCACCTAGCATCGTGTTCTTTATTGGAATATACGGACCCTTCAAAAGTAATAACACGAAATTGAAACAAAATACATTAGCACTGAAGTAAGTTTGGTAATGTATTCCACGGCTTAATGAACCCGTTTTACTAAAATGCACTTCAAACATTTTGCCATCATTAGAATATTGAATATGCCACAGACATTAATTATTCCCCGGCAATTGACTTGCATAAGGACACTCACTTCGTACTCCAATAATATGCACATTTTGGGCAAACAGTCGACGAGAAAATCTTGAACCTTAGAAGTCAGGCCAGACGTGCAACGCTCAGCCATCGTTTACGGCAAAATGAGATGTGTAATCCAGTTGGGCAAACAAATATCAAAGTTATTTGTATTTAATTTCTTAAGCAAGCAAAGTTAATTAATTACAGCAAAACTTAAAGCAGACAAAAGCCAGCAGACAGACAGACTGGCAGGCCACGTCATAGTTACATTGTTCGTTTATTTTGCTTCAACTCCGTATAAAATTACAATAATTTAAGAACTTGTGCTTCGGCTGGTCGGAAAACTGGAAACTTGTTCAAGACTCTGCAAGTGGCGGCAATTGAAAATGGAAAAACGAGAAAGGATGCGAGGGGTGGCTAGTCGGAAAAGCTCTTAGAATGCACACTGCACTCTCTGGCATTAATGGCAACTTAAGCTGCCCTAAGATGCAGCAATAGCGAGCACATCAAATATAAATGATGCCCCAACAGCTAACAGCAAACAGCTAACAACTACATCTGCAGATAGCTGAATAAGCTGGTGTGCCACGCCCCCTTCAAAAGCGAAAATAGCTGGTCGCCCACAATGCCACAGTTCGTCAGCCGAAATGCAAATGCAAATGGAAATGAAAATTAACGTGCATTTCGTTTTCATGCCACTGGCATCTTTCGAAATGCAACAGCAGGAAAAACAATTTCAGATACAATTTAAAAAGGATTTTGTTTTTACGTTTTTTTTTTTGTATTATTGTCATTTTCTGCTGCAGCTCGTGATCCACTTCACATGGCTAATGAAGCAAAACATTCCAGTCCAGTCCGTGGCCCTGAACTCCCAACTCGCAGAAACCCAAAGTGGATCACAAGCTGCAACCAAAAAGTTTTGGACAAATTCCCAGATACAAGACTGAAATTCAATTGCCTGCTGGCCAAAAAATCAGGCACTTTAAAATCAAGCACAAAACTCCAAGACCAGCAAAAATGCGGAGAAAAAAAAGGAAAATTGCATGCAATAAATTTCGAATTAAATAGAAATTTGCAGAGTCAACTGTAGGAGGGGGAGTGCAGGAGGTGGAAAGGAGATACCAAACTGGAGGCCAGCCAGCAAAAAATGCAAATCTCAACTAATTCTTATAAATTATTTAATAAGAAAAAGTCAAATGATTCATTTTTAAGCTGCACCCTTCATCACCAAAGCTCAGCTGGAGCTGGAGCTGCAGGCAACGCCAAATGGGTGGGTGTTGGCAAAAAAAAGTAAACAAAAAAATGAAAAAAACCAAACCGGCAAAAGGAAAAACTATAAAAAGCACAGCAGAGGAGAAAAGTCAGCTTTGGAAAACGGCAGAGACGACAGAAAACTAAGACTGCATTGTGGAATCACGAATGTGAAAATACCTCGAAAAATAAAGCAAGTTAAATTTTAAATAACAAATAAAAACGTAATGCTACTTTTATTTTTTATAAACGATATACTTTTTTTGAATTTTCTGAATATATTTTTTCAAATATATTCTTTAATATAGCCTTTAACTACTAGAATAACTTATTTTTCATCATAACAAGGAACTAGTCCTTTAAAATTAAATTTTGAATCTAAGCCCCTTGAATAAAATCCTTAAAAACTAAAATATCTCCTTCCAGGATATCATTCTGGTAG